ACTCACTAGTGCGTGTGTTTGGTGTCGTAGGATCCCGGTAGTAAGACGTTGGTGCATCCCGAAGTACCGCTTGTGTCTACACAAAACATCGTGAGTATTCACGCACTCCCTATTTTCATTTTTTATGTTTTGGGGTGGAAAAGCATGTCCAGAAAAACTATTGTTTGCATGTTGTATTTAAATTGAATTGTATCAAACATGATTGCTATTGTATTGCTATGTTTCTTTATGTATGTCTATGCAACACGGAACATGAGAACTTATCGTACTAAAGGCCCTTCCCTTATCTCTAACCATTAACTCTTTGAGCCAATGGTCGTTATGGATAGTGCTATTAGGAATTGACAACTCCTCACTCGCCCGAATCGCTGGTGCATGATACCATATTCATCTATGGAACGATAAGCATAGATCTCGATAGGGCTTCAGTCATAGGTTTGGTTGAGACTCATTGTTTGCTCATACACATACAAACGCGTTTCTCGTTATAGCAATAAACTTGTATTCATTAATAGCAATCAACTTGTTTATCATTGAAGCAATGTACTTGTATTTACGAAAAGCCTTATTGTACGCTCGATTTTATAAACTTGTGATACTCACCAACTATTTTCATAGTTGACGCTCGTTTTACATGCTTTTTCAGGAAATAATTAGTAAGTGGATGTAAAGATTCATCATCATAGAGCATGCTGCATCGTGTTGAAGCTATTATGAAGCTATATTTTGAACAATGTTATTTTGAAAAACTTGTATTTTGTTCTTTTGAAGCTATGGGTTGTAAACTTTTAAATACTGCTATGGTGATGTATCTTTATCTTTTGCAATGAAACCGTTATCGCTGTCATACCTTGCGTTTCCGCTTTAGCGGGGTGTGACAGAAGTGGTATCAGAGCTAAAGTTATAGAGAACATCGGTTTTTCTTTAAGAAAACACAACCTATAACTAAAACTTACAAAGAAATTCCTTTTACATCAAACATATTACAAGTATAATTAGGTTGGGAGTTGTATTATTGGACCTTGATTAAACATAGCCTGATCACCTATGTTTAATTAAGAAAAGATTTATACAAAGCTTGAGCTAATTATAATGGGAATATGTTCAACAAAAATATTTGAGAAAACCTTATTTAAAAATTTCAAAAGGTTAATTTTGGTGTGTGTAAGCATTGCATATTATAGGCATGCATTGTCATTTATTTCATATCTCATTGAAACTATGTCACAGTCCACTATGTCAAGATCGTCATCTTCCCGCGCTACCGCCTCAGCCGATGAATCCGGCTACGTCACTGTTATCCCTCGACGTAATCCCCCCGCCTCGATAGAAGAAGACCCATCAGAGGATACGGAAGATACTGGGAACTCGGTGGAGATCAGCAATGACAACGCCCCGAGTCAACGACGCGAGGCATCACCGACATCGGTGTTGCCACAGCCACCGCTCTATGGACTTCGCATTCGGAGGACAGCGAGGAAGAGTGTCCCCATTCCAGGAAGGATACCCGCCAGCACAGCAGGACATGGCACGGCAGGACCTAGCGGGGTAGGACCCAGCGATGCAGGACCAAGAGCATCCTCACCTCAGCAAGTCATAGGGATACCTGTCCGACAGCCAGGTATGACCCCGGAGGAGTCCCGGAGATTGCAGTCGATAGCAGCAGGCCTACGTCACAGTCTCGCTGTGAGCTGGGCATCGAGAAGTTTTGGATGAAGTCTTGGCAGGAATGGAAATCCTGTATCAGCATTCGATGGAGACTGCTGACACTGCTAGTGCTGCTAGACGAGAGGCAGGTCATGCGATGACAGCATATTATGTGTTTGGTGGGCTGTTCCTGATTGTGATGTGATAAGGATGGGAGCATTGACAAAGGAAAGCTCTAGTAGCAAGAGGAAGCCAGCAGATCAGGGAGAGAAGAAGTATGGAGGCAAGTCAGGGAGGAAGTAGAAAGTCTCAAGAAAATTTATGTTAAGAGCCCAGGAGCAAGAACCAGTGAAAACTCAAGGACAAGAAGTGCAGGAGCGAAAGCAGTACTCAGGGCCGCTTCCGAAGTGCAATAAGTGTAACTTCCATCACAAGGGAGCTTGCCCGGTGTGCCAAAACTGTAAGCAAACAGGCCATTACTCGAAGTATTGTAAGGTGAATAAGGAGGGAAAAAGGACATGTTACGAGTGCGGGAGTATTGATCATCTCCGTAGAGCATGTCCTAAACTGAACAATGGACCTGGTAACCATGGACAAGGCCAAGCCAGGCAAAACTTTCAAGGAAATCAAGTTAGACAACCAAGAGGTGTAGCCTTTGTGATTGGTGCAGAAGAAGCTCGTCAGAACCCTGAAGTGATAACAGGTACGTTCCTCCTGAACAACCACTTTGCATCAGTAATATTCGATGCGGGAGCAGATAGGAGTTTTGTTTCTTTAGCATTTAGACCGTTAATTGGCTTGAAATCGGTAAAGATGAGGATTGCATATGCTATTGAACTTGCTGATGGGTATGAAATTAGGGCTAGTGATATAATTCCTGGTTGTACTCTGAATTTAGCTGATAAACTCTTTAGCATTGACCTAATTCCTATAGAGCTAGGTAGTTTTGATGTGATAGTAGGGATGGATTGGTTATCCAAAAATAGAGCAGACATTGGTTGTTATGAGAAAGTCATCAGAGTGCCTCTCCCTAATGGAGAAACCCTTATCATACACGGTGAGAAGCCAGGAAGAAGTTTAAACATAGTATCAAGCGTGAAGGTTCACAAGTACCTGAAGAAGAATTGTATTGCATGCATGGCCCATGTGCTAGAAAGAGAACTGAAGCTAAGCAACTCAAGGAGATTCCAGTGGTTCAAAACTATCCCGAAGTATTTCCGGAGGAATTGCCCGGTCTACCCCCTTATAGACAGGTCGAATTTCGGATAGACTTAGTTCCCGGAGCGGCACCGGTAGCAAAAGCACCATATCGCCTTGCACCATCCGAGATGCAAGAACTATCCGGACAACTTCAAGAACTTCTAGACAAAGGGTTTATTCGACCAAGTTCTTCACCTTGGGGAGCCCCAGTGTTATTCGTCAAAAAGAAAGATGGTTCGTTCCGAATGTGCATTGATTACAGAGAATTGAACAAGTTGACAATCAAGAATCGATATCCCCTCCCTAGAATAGATGACTTGTTCGATCAGTTGCAGGGCGCTTCCTACTTCTCAAAAATCGACCTTCGGTCAGGGTATCATCAGCTAAGAATTCACGAAGAGGACATTCACAAGACAGCGTTTAGAACCCGTTATGGACATTATGAATTCTTAGTCATGCCTTTTGGACTAACGAACGCACCCGCTGTATTCATGGATTTGATGAATAGGGTCTGTAGACCATACCTAGACAGGTTTATAATTGTCTTTATCGATGACATACTTGTTTACTCGCGGACCAAAGAAGATCACAATAGACATCTAAAGCTAGTGTTGGAGCTGTTGAAGGAACAAAAATTGTATGCCAAGTTCACTAAGTGTGAATTTTGGATTCGGGAAGTACATTTTCTTGGTCATGTGATCGGTGAAAGAGGAATCCATGTAGATCCAGCTAAGATAGAGGCAATCAAGAAATGGGAGGCCCCCAAAACCCCGACAGAAATACGACAATTCCTAGGATTAGCTGGGTACTACAGACGCTTCATTGAGAATTTCTCTAGGATTGCTCAACCATTAACATCTTTGACCCAAAAGGATAGAAAATTTCTCTGGGAAGAGAAACACGAAGAGGCGTTTCAAATCCTGAAAAACAAGCTGTGCAATGCACCAATTCTGGCTTTACCAGAAGGATCAGAGAACTTTGTGGTGTATTGTGATGCGTCTCATCAAGGATTAGGATGTGTGCTAATGCAAAAAGATAGGGTCATTGCATATGCTTCCAGACAACTCAAACCGCACGAGAAGAATTATACCACCCATGATCTAGAACTAGGAGCAATAGTTTTCGCCCTTAAGATATGGAGGCATTATTTGTACGGAACCAAATGCACCATTTATACCGATCACAAAAGCCTTCAGCATATCTGGATCAGAAAATGTTAAACATGCGGCAGAGAAGATGGGTAGAGTTGTTTAGTGATTATGATTGTGAGATACGATACCACCCAGGAAAGGCTAACGTAGTAGCCGACGCTCTTAGTAGGAAAGTAAGAGTGAAACCTTCCCGTGTGAGAGCTTTGGGAATGGTAATTCAGACAAGCTTGAAATCTCAAATCATTAATGCCCAGGAGAAAGCGTTATGCAAGGAAAATCTTCCAGGCGAAACTTTACATGGTTTGGAAGAAAGATTTGAAACCAAACCTGATGGAGTTCGTTATTTTAAAGACAGGGTCTGGATTCCAAGGGTTAACAACCTGAGAGACATGGTATTAGAAGAGTCTCATCGATCTAAATACTCCATCCACCCTGGAGCAGATAAGATGTACAAGGATCTTAAAGAGTACTATTGGTGGCCTGGAATGAAAAAGGATATTGCCTTGTACGTCGGGAAGTGTTTGACATGCTCAATAGTCAAAGCTGAACATCAGAAACCTTCCGGGTTGTTGCAACAACCTGAAATTCCCCAATGGAAATGGGAGCAAATATCTATGGATTTCGTTACCAAACTCCCTAGAACTGCTAGAGGTCACGACTCAATTTGGGTCATAGTGGATCGACTGACGAAATCCGCTCACTTTCTCCCTATTCGAGAAGATTTCAAGATGGAAAAATTGGCCCAAATCTACATCGACAAAATTGTTTCTCTGCATGGTGTACCCCTATCTATCATTTCTGATAGAGATAGTCGTTTTACATCTCGATTTTGGTGGATGTTACAGAGGGCACTAGGAACCAAGATAGATTTGAGCACAGCTTACCACCCTCAGACAGATGGGCAAACAGAGAGAACAATACAAACATTGGAAGACATGCTACGAGCGTGTGTCATTGAGTTCAAAGGAAATTGGATACTCATTTGCCCCTA